ATCAGGCAATAATATATCTTAAAAATGTATTTATAGTGAAGCTTCGACCCTTACCACTAACTTTGAAATATAATTGTATTTGGAGACAGGGCCTTTGAAAGATCATCTGCGTGGGTATTAGTCTAATGTGGCTGGCAGTGTCCTTGTATAAAGGACATGTTAGGGAAGACCCTGTGAAGACACAGGGAGGTGGCACCCATCTGTAAGCACAGGAGAGAGTCAAGCTAGTGTTCGTTTACTGTCCCTTAGAGCTGCCACCCAGCTCCATAACCTGTGTGTTGCCTGCTGGGTGTCCTTCTAGGGGGAAGAATTCAGACCTCACCTCTGCAAGCAACTGCAGACAGTTGCTGTGGCTGTGGTCTTCTAAAGTTCCAACCTCGACTCTCTGCAGGCATCCCCCTTGCCTGTGGCTGAGGACGTTGGGAAGGCAGCTTGGTGGCTAAAGGCAGATGTGACAGGCTAGCGGCCATCCCCCGGAACAGACGATCGATCCAGGCACTGTGGTCAGGACCCGTGTCCTTAGGGACTACACAAGTTCAGAAGTCATTCTCTCCTGCAGCTGTTGCTGTTCATGTCCACATGTGTTTCTTCTCTTCAGTCAATAAAACACTCTGAAATGTCTTGCTCACGCGTCCCCCCCACACTTTTAATACCTGCTTTCTTTAACTATAATTTGGTTGTATAGCCACCTGCACCACCGACTTTAGAACATTTTCATTACCTGGGGGGAAAATACCATACCCATTAAAAGTCATTTTTCATCTTCTGCAATACCCACACCTCTGGCAACCGCTAAGCTACCCTTCTGTCTCTAAAATTGCCTGTTTCTGAATATTTTATAAGGTATAGTCATAAGCTACCTTCCGTAATTGGCTTTTCAGCCTGCATAGTGTTTTCAAGCTTGGTTGGTACACAGCGTATATCAGTATTTCATTGTATTACCAAATAATATTCATCCACCCACCAGCTGGTGGGATGTTTGTCTATTTCTACTTTTCAGTTATCAGAAGTGGTGCTGCCACAGACGTTGTGCGGGTTATTTGTCTCATTGCCGAGACAACACACCTTACCAAAGCAACGAAGGAAGAGAGGAGGGCTTTGATTTGGGTTACAGTTCCAGGATGCAGCCCACCGAGGCAAGAGACAGGCCAGCAGGAGCATGGGACAATTGGGTACACTGCATCTGCATTCAGGAAGCAGAGTGATAAATGCGTGTGCCTGGCTCAGGGTCTCCTTTTTAATCAGTTTGGGATTCTAGGATCCATAGAATGGTTCAACCCACGTTATAGTGAGTCCTCCCGATTTCCCTAAGCCAATCTAGATAGCGCCTCACAAGACGCGCCCAGAGGTTTGTTTATAGTGATTCTAAACCCCGCCAAATGGGCAATCAAGACTAACCCCTACAAACATTCATGTGAATGTTTTTGTGCGGCTATTTTCTTTTCTGTTAGGTGTGTACCTAGAAGTGGCATTGCGAATCATGGCGACTTTATGTCTACCTTGACCAAGGCAAAGCACCCATCGCAGAGACAGCGAAGGGGCTTCCCAGTTCTCCACATCTGCATCAATGCTTATTCTCCATTTCTTTAAAAATTGTAGTCTCTTCTTGGTGCAAAGTGGTAACTTCTATGGTTTCGGATATTTTTGGCCATTTGCGTATCTTCTTTGTGTAGGTGTCTACACAGATCCTTCACCCATACTTCAGCTGAGTCGTTTGTCTTTTTTTCTTTATTGAACTTAGAGAGCTGGTTTTAGTGGGGATACAATCTTCAAACGTTCTCTTGCATCCTGTGAATTACCCTTTTATTTTCATGGTCATCTATACATTTGATGATGTCCAGTTACGGATTTTTTTGTATGTGCTCTGGGATCATTTCTAAGGGACTATTGCCTAACCAGATATGGCAAATATTTGCCATTTTCTATTTTTAAAGAACCATTTAACAGTTTTAGCTTTTACTTTTAGACCTTTGGCTGCTTGTAATTTAACCTTCGTGTAGGCTGTGAGGTGGTGGATCCCTAACACATCTGTTAAGAAATCACATTTTCCTTTTGTGTTATTTTGGCATCCTTGTCCCAGTCAATTGCCCATGAATGCAAGTTGTTGTTAGAACGTCTGATAATACCTATGCAAAAGGTCACATATCCTATTACACAACTCGTGCAATCTACAGTTATTCATCAGACTAAAGAAAGGCAGACAGACACCATCCTTTTCTAGTTCATTTTGAACATTAGAAGACAAACTCGCAGTGAGTGGTTGAGTAGTAATAACTTAATTTATACCTCAATTGAGACAAAATTGCCACGGGGCATGTGTTCTGGATCTGAGCCTAGACAGGGCTCGAGGAGCCCGGGATCCATCTGATGTGACATCAGAGATCCCTCCAAATCCATTGCCAATGTCCTACACTTTGAATTCTGTCATTGAGGGAAAGTGCTTGCAGTCACTTCTTCGTGACTTTGGACAGACTTTCGGATCACCTTGGCCGGGAGGAGACAGGTGCTGTGGTTACAGGGCAAGCTCATTCTCCGTGGGGCTGCCAGCTACCATTTTAAATCTCAGCTTCATTTCTAAGATAGCCAGAAGCTTTGGCAAGAAGCCACCGGCGACAGTTTATCAAGTGCCGGCACATCTGTCTTCCATCTTTTGGCAAAGCCGGTGATTTAGTTTGTCTCTTGGAAGAGATGGAAGTTTTGTGGAGGATGTTAAGAAGAGGTACTCTAGGGGCATATACATTTGAGGGAGCTTGCAAATTTATCTTACTTTATTATACTGCTCTAGAATTAATTGGGCGAAATAAAGACTTTGCCCATAACCCTCAGACCAACAAGAGCAATCTGTCAGATATAGACAGGTAAGTCTGTACATCATAATATAATATAGCCTTTGAAGGCTCTTAAACCCCATGCCTCAGGATCTAGGGGTTGCTTTCAGAAATCCAAGCTCCTGAGGTTCTGCTGAATCAGAAGTCTGGCCAAGGGACGCTAGGATCCGAATTTTAAGACACCCCTGGTAGGTTTCCTACTCACCCAAATCCAGAACTGCCTACTCGGGAGTTTTCCTAGGAAGAAACTCGTGCTTGTATCCCAGGAGTCAGAAAAGTACAGATCTATCTAGAATTCAACTTTAATTTCTGCTCCTTTAAAAGCAGGGTGTCTCCCACCCCCAGGCTGGAGTAGGGGGACAACGGTAAACAGTATTTACACAGATGGGGCCCAGCACAGAGCACAATACAGGGACCACTTTATTTATTGAGGGAGAATAATGGTTTCTAGTTCACAGGCTGCTGTGAGGATTAAATGGGACAATATACACAAAGGCTCTCACAATGTCTGGCACAGACAGCGTGCATATTATTTATGGCCCAGCACCAGCTGGCCCTTCCTCATTAGCCGTGTTGGTTTCGTTCTTGACTCATGAGTCACATACACAATCAGCTAAGTGCTTAACGACCGGCCTACTGAGCCCGATATATAAGCTGAGAAATTCTGAAGACAAGCTAAAACAAGGTCAGCCTGTTAGTGTTCAGGCATCTCTACCGGCCTGCCCTTAGGGTTCTGACAGGACACGCCCTCAGCTGCAGCCACTAAGAGCACCACCTGTGCACATTCACTACGTTCCCTTTTAAAAGGGCCCCACCCAACTCCCATTCTTCTTTCTCTCCCTCTCTCTGACTCCCCTCTCCCTCTCTTCTGCCACTCTTGTCCCCAGAGGCTGGTCTCCCTTCTCCCCTCCCCCCTTTCCCATTCACTGTCCCCCAGTTAAAAAACAAACAAACAAACAAACAAAACCCTCCACCCAAGCTCTGCCGAATGGCATCTTTCTCTCCCAAGTGCAGCTTTTTAAAATTACAACACAGCCCACTGACCATTGCCAGGTGTAATCTTTCCAGAGTAGTCAAGAAGCTACCCCAAAGGGTTAGCAACAAACCCAGTGTTCCTATTGTGTGAGTTTAACTTAACGTTTCTTAGTTCTAAAACAAGCCAAAATCGGTAAACACAGAACCACACAAACAACAATATCTTTCCCTTCATCATCCCGAAGTATACCCTATGCAAACAAACGCTGCTGTCTCCTTCTCAGTTACAGCAGGTATCTTGCATGGTGCAACCATGTGGCACACAGGACCCGCCGGGCTCTGCCTGGCCCTGTCTTGGAGTCAAAGCCCAGTGGCTGCCATCTTGAAATTCTTAGTCATTTTTCCTTTGAGTTTGAGTCTTACTAATGAAATTCAATGCCCCTGTGTGTGGCACTCTGCTGAGAGCCAAGCCCCTGAAGGCCATCTAGCCTAGGCTGATGGAGGAGATCGGATGCCCTCTCTGGCTCATAACTCCTGCGGTACCTGGCTGGCCGCTCTCGCTCTTGGCAGATCCTCTCTGTGCTGCTTGGGCCTTTTTCTCTCACAAATAAGGTACCTTTTATGCTTCATGAATTCCCGCCTTGTCCTCCTCTTGCTCCCTGTGAGGCTCTTTATTTAAATTCTGTGTTTCTTGGCATTTGTTATGGGGCACACTTGCTCAGTCCTATTGGTGGAGATGGAGGTGAGATAGTGTAACCTTCAAATGCACGACCTTAGTTCTAGGAATTTATCCCAAGAGAACAACTAAGAATAAAATTATTGGTCAAACGGACTATTATTCCAGTAACATTTATTACTAGAAAGTGGGAACAGATATCTACTCAGAGGGGCTTGGCTAAAGGATGACTTTTCCATACAACCAGCAGATGTGTAAAAAAAAAAAATAACATGGCTGCATGTTTAATGGTCAGGGAAAGCTGTCATCAATGTGTTAAATAAAAATGCCAAGGTACAAAATGACTTTGAAAAAATCTCATTTTTATATAACAAATACACGTATTCTTACAGGAAAAGATAGCTTTGCACGGTAGAATTCCGGGAGACCTTTTGGCTGCCCCTTTCGCCACCGTCTTGGGACTGTTTTATAATACCTGCCATTTGCAAGCCTCTGGTGCCATCCTCTCCTTGCCTCCCCAGGTGTGCTGGAAGATGGACTGTCCTCTAACGGCGTGCTCCGATCTGCAGCCTCAGGTGGAATAGCCAACCCAGAGAAGAAGATGAACTGTGGGACACAGTGTCCTAACTCCCAGAGCCTCTCGGGCCCTCTGACCCAGAAACAGAATGGCCTTTGGACCACAGAGGTAGGGTCTTAGCCACAGAATCCACAGGGCACTGGAGGCAGGGGTGGAGTTTAAGTCAGGACCACGAGCCTTGGCACGAGCCTTGGGGATGGAGATTTTCTACCCTTCCATTTAGAATTACTGCAAACCTCTCTTTAATCATTCCCCGTGGGCTGCTGGGTTTTAGTTACGTAAATGTGTCCTTGATATCACAAGAAAAGTGTGTGTTTGCTTCTGCATGGCATTGTCCAAGAATCTCCTGGTCTTAAGTAGTGAAACCTGGGGTAAGACACATTTTACCTCACACCCTCCAAACAGCTATGATACTTCCAAGGGTGATTCTTGGAAGTATCATAGCAACCTTACGCTACACTGTTGCTGTTGGGAAGGAAGCCGGCTGTGGCCCTGGACCTGGCTGTGGTCCTCTGACCCTTTTCTTCAGGGGAGTTATTGATTGGAGGTGCTCCTCCTGCTGTGCCTGGCTCCTCCTCGGAGAGGCTGCAGCCAGGAACAGAAGCTCTGTGCAGGCTGGGGCTCTGTCTCTCCTTCCTCCTTCCCCTCCCATTTTCTCATGTTCCCCGAAGTCCACCCCTCACTGTCTGCTTCAGAACGTGCTGGCCCCGCCTCTTCCAGCTCTGGCACCTGCTCGCTCACTCCCTGAGGGCACAGCCTCCCACCCAGGGCTGGAATTCCTGCTCCAATCATCAGTTGCCTTTAGAGGCCTTGATCAGCAGGCTGGTTGCAAATTCATCCCTGAAGTTCACTGACAGAGCAGATTTGCCCGAATCAATCTCTCAGAACCTCGGGCTCCTTAAACGTACAGTGGAGATGAAATAATGCCCGACGGACAGAGGATGGGTCTGCTCTTGTAGGTTGACATTCGCTGAGGCCCAGCGGGATAGCTCGGCGCTCAACACGATGACCTCACCGGGTGGGATGAGTGCTGATGGAGCCCTAATGCTATGCTAACTGCCTGCGGGGGTGGATGGAAGGTGACAGTGTCTCCCTAGAGTCCTGCATTGTCACCGTGGCCTGAGGCTATGCTGGCCTTAGGAAAACCAGCCATCACTGGTGTCTCCCAAGGCAGCCTGGCCTGCACAGGACCATGCTCACCAGGTCGGTGAGATGTCTAGGGAAGGTTCAGGTATGCGTCCCCGTCCTCCTCTCCACACTGCAGACTCCACTCTCACAGCCAGAACGATTGTGGTAGCGAGACCGAAGATTTACCTGGGAGGAGGCCCGAGCTGTGCTGGGTCTTCCCCGTGTCACTTTCTGCCCTCATCGCCAGTTGCTCCGAAGTTGGGCTTATGAACTTAACAAAGGGCTATTAGGCCTACGAGGTTTTTAAGTCCTCCCAAGAGCACCACCACCCTATTACAGTCAAGGAAAGAAAGAAAGGTTCACAAACTAAGGTGTGTACTGTATGGCGTGGATGACTATCCATGTGTAAGTATCCGTTACTATCCACATGTCACCATCCACTACTGTCCACGTGTCACCATCCACTACTGTCCACATGAGGGACACGGGGTGGGACGGCAGCTTAGGTGGCAGACTGTGGGCAAACTTAGGTGGGCAAACCTTGACTCAATCCCCAACACTGAGTAACGTGAGGACTCAGAAGATGGAGACAGGAAACTCAAAAGTCCCGAGTTATCGTGAGCTACGTTTTCACATTGGTGAGGAAACGCTTTCACTGTCACAACTCTAATTTCAAAGTTTGAAAATCTTCCCGAGTGAGCAACACGCAGTGCGACCTTCGGTCACAAAGCTGCACAGCAGTAGTGAGGAGACTGTCAGCTTCCAGTCAGCCTGGGAAAGCACCAGGGACCCAGCGGACAGCCCCAGTGAACCACGTCTTGCTGGCGTGTTCGGAACATTACAAATGCTACACACGTTTGCAGCTTGTGTCGGCTTTACTGGGGTGTAAGCCGCAGAGCGGGCACTTTGCTCGCATTTCCCCTGGGCACTGACACCTGGATGACGGTTCTTCTCCAGGACGCACCTTTGGAAAAGTATATAGCCGCACGCACACACCCCTGGCAGTTTTCTGGTTCAGATTTACTAGAAAATGGTGTGGGTTGAAGGCGATCCTTGCTAGGCCTGGACAGTTTCCTCTTTAGTTCCCAGGAGCACTCTCATAAAATCCCCGAGTGCTGTGCAGATGCCAGGCTCTGCCGCCTGAGAGCCAAGAACCCAGCGGCGGGAAAGGCAGCAGGGAGCCAGTCAGGCAATGGATGAATGACATTGTTGTAGACGTGACTGTGATCTGAGGGACCTGGGAAGCTGCCAGAGGGGGTGGTGACGTCTCTGTTAGCACAGATGCTCCCCCGAAGCTCAAATTAGCTTCTCAAGGGTGTTGGGACTTGATGAGCAGCAGTGTCTTGTGTTTGGAGCCCTCTCTACTTCACATCCCATCAAACAGACCGTGCCTCTTTTTCTGCAGTCCCCTCCGGTCCCTGCTTTCTGACGAGCATCAATAGGCGTTCACTGGCAGAACAACACTGGACCTGACTGTGTCAGTAGGGAGCTCTTCATGTACCGTGCTTGCCTTAATTGTGTGGGACCATATTGACCTCACAACAAACGGCAGGTCATAGGCTTGTTCTCCTTCACCCAGCTGTAACATGAAAAATAAAAACACAGAGACTGATATTGGGGTTCCAGCTGAAAGTCAGAAAAGCAAAGCAGCCGGCCTCAATCTCTCACCTCTACCTCAGTCCTTAAGGGGTGTAGAGAGCGCTCATGTCTGCATGAGCTCTCCACTAAGCCTCTCCTCAACGAGGCTGGAGACTAAATCTCAGAATGCAGCCTGAGACACCGGGCTCCTGACACCTCTCTAGGGCCGATCAAAGGCGTCAGCTCTGTTTCTCTTTTAGACTGATTCACTCTCATATAGCCCTGGGTGGCCTTGAACTCACAAAGATCCATCTGTCTCTGTCTCCTGAGTCCTGGGATTAAAGGTGTGAGCCACCACTGCCTGGCCTCTATGGCTAATTATGTGGCTGGCTTTGCACTCTGATCCTTCAGGCAAGCTTCATTAAATCATAAATAATTTTTCACCACACCAAGCTCCCCATCTGTGCTCCACAAACAACACTAGCGGTACCCAGAAACTCTGGGCTGCCTCCAAACTCATTCTCGGCACCCCCACATCCCGTATTCTTCAGGCTTAGAGATCATCTCCTCTTTAAAAAGTCAAACAGACAAAACTCTCAAAGCCAGCCCAGCAGGTAAGGGTGTTTACCGCCAAGTGTGAGTTTGATACCAGGAACCTATGTGGTAGAAAGAGAGAACCAATTCCTGGAAGTTACCCTCTGATCTCCACAGGTCCTCTACAGCACACACCAGCACACACGAACACACATACACATATAACCCACTAACACACACGAACACGTACACATGCACACACATGCATGTACACACACACACACACACACACACACACACACACACACACACAAATAAAACTCTCAACTGGGGTTGGAGAGATGGCTCAGGGTTACTAGGTTGCACTTGCAGGGGACCCAGATTCAGTTCCCAGCACCCACATGGTGGCTCACCACTGTGGGAGGCACAGGGGTCCTTGTGCTCGAAGTTAAGCTCTGGAGAACCAGGATCGTTAAACACACGGGGTTGTCTCTTCAAAGGGAGAGATGTTTGACCTGTTTTCTGCCCAGAAGGTTGGGAGTGGACATGGCTGATAGCCTGGTGCCCTTTGCACTATCTGGGTGGCCAAGACCACTCTGGATCCTTCCCCAGACCCTTATCTTGAGCTTGTCCTTCTCAGCCAGTTTATAGAACCCATCTGTATAGATGATATTTTATAAAGTATTTAGATGCTGTCATGTTCGAGGATTTGTTGCGCACGCGTCACTGAGCAACTCATCACCCGGAAACTTTTCACCGAATTGTGCTGTGCTTAAATAAACTATTTGGGGTCAGATTCTCAAAGTTTGAACCCACACTGGCTACTGAGTAGTGTTGAATCCAACTAACTGCCTTCTCGATTGGCTAGGATGCTCACAGAGCACCCCACCCACCCCCTGCAACTCCAGTTCCGGGGAATCTGATCCCCTCTTCTGACCTCTGCAGGGGCATACACACAGACACAGAGGCAAAACTATCCTGCACATGAAATGAAAATAAGTAAACCTAAGTAAAACAAAACAAAACCCCCCTTGGGTGTTAGTCAGGGGTAGAAATGCCGTCTGAATGCCCCTGTCAGCATGGGAAACCCCGAGCCTTCGGCTGGCTGCCCACGATTTTTCCCCAAACTGTACATTCCCCAGTTGTCTTATTGTTGTTGGCAAAGTGACCAGACGCTAAAGGAATTACCCATTGTCTGGATTAATTCTCGGCTAAGGGACTTCCTGCAAAAGTTCCTACCCTCAGTGTCTGGCCAACAAAGGTTGGCCATGTGTGGCCCAGTGTAGGAAGCAGGGGTGAAACCCCACAGAGTTCAAAGGGCAGGGTCCTTGTGGAGTTTTTCTCAGACATCGTAAAGTGAGGTGTGCCAAGGAAGAGCTTGGGAGGAAAAGAGTCTCTCTCCGGAAAACAAAGCAAGAAGCTGAATGGAGGGAGGGAACAGATGGAACCACTGGGGGGAACCAGAGCCAAGGCTGTCGGTAGTGCCCTTGGGAGCCCTCAGCAGCCCACGCCTGGGAAAAAGGAAGGTTCTATTTCAGCAGCAGAGGGAGAGATTTCTGTAGAGAGTTGGCCTGCAGCAAAACCAGCTCAGTTAGAAGGTGTTTGGGCCACAGCACTCCTTATTCGTTATATTCTTCCCTTGACACTCCAGTCTACTTCCGGTATATGCGCTTAGTAGGTGCTAATACTGGCATGCTGGCTGAATGAGACTAGCCTAGCGGCTCACTGAGAGTAAAGGGGGCTTCCCCGCCCTGGCAACATCTTGGTATCATGGCAGCTCTGTTACCTTCCTTGCGGTCATCTCCCTGAGGCTCATGGGGAAAAACAACAAGTCCTTGTGACACTTGAAGCCCAGTAGGTTCGGTCAA